ACTTGCCACTTTCTATTTGAGACAAATGCATCAGAACAGGTACTACTTTAAGAGAACTGATCTGTTTAGTCAGTAATAAGAATAATTTTCCCCAATCTAAAAACTCTGCATGTGTCACACAGGAAGCCTCAAATGGAGAAAAACTCTGAAGATCAAATCAGTATTATTAAGTAAGTTATTTTTTTTTATTTAGCTATTTATCATTAACATTGTTACATTTTATGCTTGCTTGTGATATCCATGATAATATCACATTCACTCCACCTAATTTTGTCTTTGATGTCTTTGGTTCGTTTTACTTAAACAGTCTTTAGGCTAAAACATATTTTTCCTTTTAATCAAGGAATGAGGAAATGCTTCAGCCACAAAAGAACACTGAGGAGCCGACATCTGTCATAATCTACAGACAATCCAGCAGACAATCACCAACAACAGAATCACCAACAAAATTACCCACAACACCTGATGTAGAAAGCTGCCCCCCTGAACCTCACACAAAAGTAGCACCAAAAAAATCAATATAACAAAATATGGGGTTTTATGGTTGTTAAAATATAAAGTTCATTGATGTATTTTTATAATTAAAATAAATGAAAATGAGGAAGGAACCCTTGTGTCTTTCTCTTAAATTTCCATCACCATGTTTGTTTGTGGGGGGGGGGGGGGAGTATTTTTTACATTGTTAAAAGCGACTGCTCTGATGTGTACAAATGCTGTTTAAAGGTTAGGTGTCCTGCTCTCTGGACACTGAGCTTTTGACAGTTAACTGCCGACATTTCTACCTGCTCAGGGAGTTTACTGTTGTTAGCATCACTGCTGTGTATGCTAACATTATTAAAGAGGCCATGTGTGTTATCTCTGAGGTACAATCTGCACGTATGGAGGGCGTTTTCGTCATTGCTGGGGATTTTAACCAGGCCAATTTGAAGACTGCTCACCCTCATTTTTACAACATGAGGATTTTGCAACTGGAGGACAAAACACTCTATATTTGGTTTTCACTATAGGCCAATTTATGCTACTGACGTATAGCCTCTGCAACCGTCCAAACTGTCTCTGCACGCGACCACACCCCCGCGCAGAGGTTCTGCAACCGTCGTTACACACCTCAAGAAAATCCTGACTGCACGTCGGACGGTCTCATACCTGCGCAGACCTCAAGCAGAAGTGCGCAGACGAAAAACAGCTGTGATTGGTCCTTGTTATGCCTTTCCAGGCTGTCTGTGTGGTCGTCCTTCTCAAATCGTTGCCGGGGCGTGCCATTTTTAAAAACCAAGGAGTAACAACAATGGATAACCACGACGAAAGGTTGATCGAGGAAGTTCGGAAGTACAACCACGTGTACAATGCCTCAGACATTTTGTTTTGGAAAATAAACACCCCCGCCGGCAGATCGACGTTGCAGAAGCATACCAGCAAAACTGGTTTGCGACCAGAAGCAAGCAACATTTGATGTGTGCTGTTGCAGAAGTTTAATCTGCCCTTAATGTGAAAGACGCATTCAGAGCAGCCCTCCCCGCCGCCACCTTGGCTCTCTGGACCTGCTAATTCCTGCATACAAACCCCTGTGGATCAAAGCAAAACCCACAGTGAAGCAGGTGATGGTATGAACCCTGGGGGCTCTCAAAACAGTCCTGGAGGAAATCCAGGACTATTTTGAGCGCTCTAATTGGGACATGTTCAAAGCTGCAGCAACATACAAGACCAGCTTTGATGAGTATGCTATGACTGTGTCAGCCTACATCAACAAACGCATTGAGGACATCAGCACCACAAAGAACATCATCACCTTGGCCAACCAATGAACCTGGACCAAGGAGGTCCGACAAACGCATAAAAGCACAGAACTTAGCCTTGAAGTCTGATGACAAAGAGGCACTGAGGACAGTGTATGCCCACTTGAACCATGCTATTAGATCAGCGAAGCAGAACCACAGTCAGAAAATCCAGGATCTTTTCCACGATGCCAGCAACACCAGGAGGATATGGTAAGGCATACAAGCAATTACAGACTACGACACACCCTTCCCCCAGTGGGTGTGGCTGTTGCTTACTTCCTAAATGGACTAAGCAATGCCTTTGGAAGGTTTGAAGCCCTAATCTGCACTCCAGCATTGAAATCTGTTCCCCATCAGGAAGAGGAGGCACTCTGCCTTGACACTGCTGACGTGTGGAAGAGTCAACCCACGGAAGGCCCAGATAACATACTGAAGCAAGTGTTTAAGAAGCGTGCGGGTCAGCATTTTACACCATATTTATTTTTGCACTGCACTGAAAGTTTTCATATTTATTCCCTTTTTGCACCAATATTTAAACTGGTTACTTTTTTTCTCCTACATTGTTTAAGTTCTGTGTATCTACTCCAACTGCAATATCAATACACTGTTGTAAGCTGTATGCAACAAAATTGTGCATACAAAATGACAATAAAGTTAGTCTAAGTTCAGATAATTGCTCTTGCTGTAGTTCAATGTGAACCCAAAGCTTTAAAAATGGCTTTATAACCATTTCCAGACTGATAGATCCGTTACTTTCTAATTTTTCTTAAGTTTCTTGGGTTCCTGGCATAATGTTTAGCTTTTGAGGATCTCTTGGTGTCTTATTTTTTCAGGCAGGTGTTTTTTTGTTATAATTTTTTACTTGTTTGGGGTTTTTTATGTTAGAAACGTGAACCATAAAAGGAAAAAGATGCTACTGAACTCAACATTAAATCAAGAGTTTAATCCCTGTTATTTATGTTTAGTTATGATGTTAAAACTACATTCAGATAAACCCTGAAATGTAACCTGCTGTTAAGCACATAGGTGGAGGGTTGATGATTTGAAGCAGAATTCTTCCAGGATGTGACCAACATTTTTTCTCTCTCCAGAATTTCATCATGGATATAGTAACAGTCCTGTTTCCATCTGGATTTAGTTCTGGTAGTTTAAACAAACTGTGACTCTCCTTGTAATCAGACAAGCCTGTTTATCCCTCAGTGCAGCCAAACACAATGAGAGACTGGTTGCTATGCCTCTTTTGGACATCATCAGCACACAAGCTGATAACCATGGAGAACATCCATGGATGGAACATCATGGAGAACCTGCTGGCCCTGACATCCCAGGTTCATGTTTTTAATAATACAAAAATAGTTTAAATTATCTTCTTTTTTTCCCACTATATTAAGTGCAGCAAACAAATCTATAAAAAAAAAAGAGAGTAGGAGGGAAAAGGAAGAAAATAGCACCATGGCTGACTAAGGAGTGTGAAAAAGCAAAACAATCTAGAAATAAATAATTTCAATTTTTTAAAAAGAATCAAAATACCCAAAACACTGAATATAAAAGGTGACAAAGTACTGTCACCTAAAAAAAAAAGTACAAAAAGAGAATATTTAAATCCTCTTCTTGTAATTCAGTAGGACAAAAAACAGAAATGAGTCAAGTTTATACATTGATTAAAATAATTAATGGAATATAGATATCCAATTCTCAATGATGGCGAAGAAGTTGCTGTTGAAAATAATTAAAAAGCAGAAATGATGGCTAGAGCTTTTATTAAAATTCATAGTTTAAATAATATGAGCGATCTGTTTATTGCAGGTCACTAATATTAAAGGAACATCTGTTGATGGTGAGGAACACTTTCAGAGAGCAAGCTCCTTATAAAATTATTTGCTTCAGTTTATTTACCAGATTTTTTATGCAATGTATTAAAGTACTGTATACCTTTGAAGTGAAATAAAAATATATATGATTTTTAAATAATTTGCAATGTTTCATAAACATTAATATAAATTAGCAGGGAAAATCTGGGCGAGTATTCAGCACTGAACAAATCTGAGTTTTGATTCTTTCAAATCATTGTTTTTGCTGAAAGAAAGTCTTGAGATGCTGATTTCTAAGGTTTCTTACAGACCATGCAGGAAAACAGAAAACATGTGGAAGAAGGAGGTCAAATGAGTCCAAAGAGGAGATGCTTTAGAAGGAGCTCAGGTGGTAACATTGTTCCACTGGGGAAAGTTTTTAACAGGAAAATTCACAGTTCTTCAGAGTTGATGGGAAGATTAACAGAGTTAGATACAAGATAAGTGTGGGTTTTTACACCAAAAAAACTTCAGTCCGCTATTCAGTTTAAATGTGCATATTTCTTCTTTAAGGTAAAGCTCTCAAGAAAATATACAGATGTTTTGTGGCAGTAGGGGAACCAGGTATTTTCATAGGGCCCAAAAATAAAAAGTTCATGGTCTTCTTCACTAATCATACTGTGTAGCCCACCAACATAAAGACAAACAAGCTGAATATCCATACTTTCAAAATAAATCACAGACGACAGTCCAGATTTTCATTAAAGGCATTGCTAATGAATGAACACATATTTAAATATTTATGCTCTCTGAGTAAATAATTTATGGCTCTGCATCATTTACACATTAAATCAGTAGAGCAAGTGGAGATAATCTTGCCTTTTCTCCAGCAAAACACAATTGCAAGTTGTGAAAAGAACACAACTGATTTGTTTATGTTTAGAGTAAGTATATTGGTGTGATTTATTACTGTATTTTTGTGTTGAGTTTGTGGTTATTACACTTAGAATTGAAATGTCAAATAGTTAGAGACATTCCATTTGAAAGGATCATTGCCGCCACCTGCTGGTTTAGAGGGGAACTACTTTTTTAGATCGTGGTTAATTGGTTCATATGGGCTCTATAATTATTGAAACACTTCTGCTTCTCATCTGCTGTTTAGTGGTAATCTTTATAGCACATAGCTTTTACAGGCATATTAAAGTATTGATATCATGGATCAACTTTCTGAAGTGCTAATTTGTAAGGTTTATAACTTAAAAATGAGATTTAGTTTAGGCTATAGTTTAATGTTTTTTATACTGTATCTTTTCCAAATAACAATTAATCTGATTTTTAAAAAATATAATGTATTGGGATTAATCCATCCGAAGGCGTTCAGGTGATTCGTGACGTCATCGCCACGTCTAACGCTCACCTGTCTAACTTTCACTTCAGCTGCAAATCATCAAGCAGGACGGGAAACATGACAAGAAGCGCAGAATGAGACCCGCTGTTATAATCAGCTGTTTTTTAGTTAACGCCATCCTTCAGACAGGTAAGAGATCCTTATATTGTTGTTGACTGAAGCAGACATCCTAATATTATAAACTTCTACTTTGGATTATTATTTTAGGCTATGCATTTACCCGCTTTAGTTTGGAGTTACAAAATATGTTTATTAAATAAATATTAAGTTGTTACACCGCAATAACTGGAGGCCTCCCCCGTGATAAAAGGCTATTTCCTCACGCAATGCAAAAAAAAAAAAAAAAAAAAAAAACAGTGAAAACATGGATTACTTCTCTTATGTCCTGAGATATACAGAATTCCAGACTTCTTTTAAAAACCATAAAACACCTCTTGTGCTTTTTTTCTTCCAAATTAAATATATGAAGAGGTTTATTATTGCAAGAAGCTTATTATTGCAATTAAAAAGTAAATGTTATGATATTTTAAATGTTATTCCTTTAGCTTCCTGGTATTTTGAAGAACTGGTCTAACCAGGTCAATGAAGGCAGTTTTGCTTGCACGGTATTGTGCTAACCTATAACTTAAACCTTTCTATGGGACTGAAATCATGACTTTCTGATGGCTACTAAAAACACCGACTTTCCTGTTCTAAAGATACTTGTTAACAGGGTATAATTTGAGTTATGTACAACTGAGGGACTCGTTTGTGCCCAGATATTCAAACTAAGCTCATGAAATTCTGCCATAATATTTCGATTTTTTTCATTAGAATGAAGGTTGTTTAACGACTTGCAGCAATCTCTCTTGCAGCAATACGCAACATGCCTCTGTCATAATAGGAGAAGACCTAAACTTTGTTTTTAAGTTTAAAGGATACTGTATGGCACCAGGGGCGTCTCTAGGTTTAAGAGACAAGGGTGGCTCAGCCCCTATAAGATAATGAAAACATAACTGTTACAATATTCACTTATATATTTTGTGCAAAAAATATCACATAAATCTAAACAGACAGTACAAATCAAAGAAATATATCAATTTTGTAGAACATTTATTGACAGTCAATTTTGGGTCACTTTTTAAAATTTATTTACTTTTAAACCAAGACTCGGACAAGATCTTATGGGACCTTAAGCAGAATATGATTAAGCAACTCCGTCTTTCTGTCAAGAACATCCACCAGCAGGGTATCCAGGGGGGGATTTACCATTAGGCAATACTAGGCAGTTGCCCAGGGCCCCAAGTTCCTGGGGGCCCCATAAAACTCTGTTTCCGTGTATGGTTAATACAACTAATCCTTATTTGTGCACATTAATTATGTTTTTGATAAAAATCCTTTGGCTAAAATGCCATCAGAACGCTGATAAATAGAGAGGAAAAAGGGACAAGAAGAGAGGGACAAAACCTAGAACAAATAATGGATGTCTATTCTATTAACATTTCTCTATCTGTAGAATGGGTCTGTTTTATGGGTTTTTTTCTCAGGGGGCCCCCTGCCTGTCTTTGCCTAGGGCCCCAAATTTCCTAAATCCGCCCCTGAGGGTATCAATACGGATTTGATAGAATCTGGGAGAGCGGACTATGTTCAACCATCCATTTTCTTTAACCTTATCCCTCAGTGGGATCAGGAGGTGCTGGTGCATATCTCTAGCCACGTTCTGGGTCAGAGGTGGGATCACCCTGGACAGGTCACCAGTCTGTCGCAGTATATTCAAGCAGCTTAAAAGTAATCGGTAATCAGATTTATTATTTGCACTTTTACTAAGTGAACTTTGTAACTCCCTTAAATCTGAAATTCCAATGCCAAAATTGTTTAAATCTTTTATCTTTGGACCCCCTGCAGAGTGACGTCACACCTGCAAGATCCTATCCTTACCTTCCTGCTAGATTGCAAAAAGCAGCTTGCTCATGAGTTGTCAACTTAACACGCTAAATCTTAAATGTACGTGTACATATAAAAGAAAAAGGGGCGCAGTGCTTGCTATGGCAACACTATCAAAGTCAGGAAAAAGTTTTAAGTAAAGCCGGGATTAAAACAGTAGCTACAAGAAGCTTCAAACAAAAGGTGTTCTTTATGTTCAACCTAAACACCAACTCCGATAGACCATCAGTAGAGCAGGTGTTTAAATTAATCAATCACTGCTGCGAAAGCTTATAGCAGTGAAAGCTAATATACCACAGCCATCACTTAATAAACGCAAAATAAACAACCCTCTAAAAACGGAAAACTGTAATGGACTGAAAGTCCTGTTTTTTATGTGGGAAATTATTTGCGTTGTTTTAGTATAATTCTGATATATTGGCGCTGTTGTCTGTTTCTATGGCAACGATACTGAATGTAGTGTAGCTTAGAGACCTGCATGGGTCGAGTTTTACCAACCCGCACCCGCCCGAACCCGTTAGGATGACTACCGAACCCGACCCGTCACCCGCGGATATCTTCAATTCAAATGTTATGGGGAGAGGTTGGAGGGGGGTGATGGGGAGAAAGCGAGAGGCAACAGATTCTTTTTTCTGAGTTTTTTGTCGGGGTTTGTGGACGGTGAGCAGCGGGGAGAACTTTTTTTATTTTCTTTCTGAGGAGCGGCATGAATGGGGTTTTAATCAGATATACACAGCACCGAAAGCAAAATACGTGTACAAAATATTGGTGGGGACATGTCCACACCAGTCCTTAAGGAAGTTACGCCTATGATTGTTCAGATTAACTTGTCTTCTTTATGGCTTTTATTCGGTGCTTTACTGCATTTGTTTTGGAAAAATATGAGGAAAAAATAAATACAGAAAAAAAATATATTTTTTTTTAAATCGCAAAATAATTATAGGGTGGCTAATGCCAAAGAAAGGGTGACTGAAGCCACCCTTAAATAGTTCTAACGACGCTTATGCTGTATGCCTCTAAAATTTAAGTTTTTCTGTGGGTGCTTGCAATCTATAATGTCTTTGGACCTCATTCCAATTCACTTCATGTTTCAATATAGATGAGATTCTCTCTTCTCAGCTTCTGCAAGAAGATACCCACCTGGTACATATGTTGATTATATTTGTTTATTTTTTGTTTTTCAGTTACACAGAATTGGCATGATGCAGGTCCTGAAAGAAGGGTCTATTTGTTTTCTGTTGAAAAAACTTTAAAAGACTCCCCAGAAATTTGTGGTCAGTCCTATTTGGTTATATGTTAAATAAGGCTACGAAACCTAATGTAGGATGTTTCACCATTCTAAACATCAGATTTCTGTTAACACAAATCAATCTCCAGCTTGATTTGTGTCTGTTAATACAGAACTTTTATGCACCGTAAGACCAGCTGATTAGTCCACATTGTGAAGCTGCTTTGAATGTGAGGCTGCTAAAGGGATCACAATAGGGCACCAAATAAAAAACACATTTTTGGGCAATTATTCATTAGAAAAAAAAAATTGCCACAGATAATTAATGCAAGCACGCAAGCAAATATTTTATAGCACTTATTTATTATTATAAAGTGTCATCAATAAATTGCACAATCAGATTGTTATTTTCTGCATCATTAAATATCTACCTGAACCAAACTGAATTGAAATGGCCCACTTGTGAGTTTAACTGTATATCTCTAATCCACTACTGATTAAGGCAAAATTTATCTTCATTAAATAACTGTCAGAAAACATGAACTTGAAAACTGAAAACTTGAAATGTGCAACTGTAAAAGGTAAAACAAAAAAACAGCTCTATATACATGCATGTCTGTGTTTATCATTTCTATTTGGGCCCATCCTATGATGGTGCGATGGTGATGATTCTAGGTGTGTTTATCATGTCCAGAAAGATGGGAGAGCTGGATGTTCATTTTTTTAACAGTAAACGGTAGCGTCTCGGCCAGTGGCGGCTGGTTGAGTTTTCTCCAGGGGGGGCTATAAATTCAAAATAGACATATATCAAAAACCAGTCAACCGTATACTAAGTTATCACACCAGTATATTTATATGAATGCCAACAACAAAAAAACATTATAAAAACAAAACATAATTTCATGAACAGTTTTACATTTTGTACATAAATCTTGCCCTTCTGAGGCTTTGTAAAGGAAAATCTGTGTTTTGCATGGTCCAATATGATGTCACAAACCTAAACAAATAATGGACCAGTTTAATAATGGAGAATCAGTCAGCTTTATATTTTTTTAATATATGAAAACTATTGAGTTTTTATATGTGTTTATTTATGAGCAACTATGCAGATTAACAAACATCTAGAAAAGGTAGACTATATTATATAATTTTTCATGTGAATCCCAGATTGTTCATTCTTCTTTGCCTTTTCTACAAAGTGATTTAAATCAGTCCTAGCTGTCTTTATCCATGCTGGGTCAGATTTGTTTCGAAAAAGGAGACAGGGAAAGCAGAATAAAGCTACATGCTGCTAGCCAAGCCTTCTTGCTAAACCAGGTCCTGGAAAAGGACGCTTCTTGCACCATTTCTCTTTCTCTCCAATGCCTCTCCAGCCCCCGCAACTCGACCTGTGAAGCACCCACAAAAAATCTAAGCTGTGGCAGGAGGTGGTGAGGAAATACACTTCCTGCCAGCTTGGGGTGCACCAGAGCTGCGGCGGTGCTGTGAGAACAGAGCTGTGAAAATTAATTAATTAAAAAATCAATGCCCCAGGCACTGCAGATCCACCCTGTGAAAAGGGTCTGCCGACGCCGGTGATCTAAAGCACTAAAATTCATTTTAAACTATCTTTCTCACAACCTTTAGGTCAGTTGGCTCTAATAGAAACAGAGGAGACTGTGTGGGCAGCAGTGGGTGATCAAGCCTCTCTAAGCTGTAAGCTCACTGAGGATAAAGACGTCCTCCAGTTCACCTGGCAGAAAGTCCTCCTATATGCAGAGAAGAATCTCGCCACCTACACCAAGAAATATGGTTACAGCGTGAGAGTTGATCTGGCAGAGAAGATGGATTTTCAGTGTGAAGATCTTCAGAGCTGCTCCATGGTGATTAGGAAGGTGATGGAGGAGGATGAAGGCTGCTACAGGTGTCTGTTTATCACCTATCGTACAGGAATCCTGATTGCCAGGACCTGCCTCAGACTCTATGGTGAGTACTGAAGATATAATGTGGTGTATTGGTTTTGAAAGTTTAGCTGCCTCCAACAAAATGACAGCTATGCTCTCAGCTTTTTCTCTGTAAATATATTGCTAGGGTACGATTGACATGATCTTTACATCAGATGTCGGTACCAACCCATGAAGTCCACCTGCACAAAGACATCGATCCATAGATGTCCAGGGGTCCGTTTCACTAAGCAGTTTTAAAAAACTGAAATCTGCAACTCTAAATTGATCTAGCCTAAGGTCGGGAACTCTGAGTTTTTGGTTTCACAAAGGCTGCTATGAATTAGTTCAATCAACTCTAATTAGGTCCACTCAGAGTTGAGCACATGCATAACAAGTATATGAAATGCCATTATCAGTGGAGCCCTGATTTGAATATAAAAAAAGGGAAAATGTGTTTAAAAGACAGTGAAACGGCAATACAGCTGCAAAGAAGAGGAAGATGGCAAAGGAGAGATTTTTGTTCGAGTTAATGTGTGGGGTATGGCAGGCCGTTTTTACATTTATTAAAATCACTTTCTTCACTGTTGGTCCATTTTTAGATAACCAAAATAGGATTCTTCCTTAGAATAATTTTCATAGTCGGAACTGCTATATAGAGGTTGTAAATTACATTTTGCAAGAAGAAGCTGAATTTCAGAAAGTTAAAAAAAACTATATTGCAATAGTAAAAATTTTGTTTTAGCCTATATATATCTAGAAATGTTTACACATTTTAAGTGACCGTTTTACATTTATCAGCTTGACTGAATGTGTATTTATGATGCCTGAAATGCATTTCTTCATAGTCAAAATAATACAAATGATTACCAGTAAGCATAGAATTATGGAGATCTGAAAAAAAAATGTCTAGACATCCAGAATGTTGAATCAAGAACTGAATGAGATTATTTTATTTGAAATTGTCATTTTGACAAGGAATCTTTTCAGATATAAGAAATACATGTTACGTAAAACTAATACATTTGAAAATAGCTTGTTGTGACCATAATAACATTACAGGTTTATTTCTTGAATGCTAATGGATCAATGTATCTATTTAAGTGAAATATTCTAACATCAGACAAAATGGAAGAATAGAAACGTTGTTCTCATAGATAAGACATGTTCATCACCTGATGCGGTTCTCAGTTTGATTCCTTCTTTTACACAGTGGCTGTTAGCAGCCGCTTCGGATTTTATTATCCCAATAAATGGTTATTATTAGTGGTTACTCGTCCCTTAGAATGGCTTTAGACTGTGAAACTGATTTAATACGTTGTAAAAAAAAAAAAAAAAAGCCTTTGTTGGCAATGACAGCTTCAAGACTCCTCCTATATGGATAAATTAGTCGCATGCATTACTCACGTGTGATTTTGGCCCATTCTTCCACACAAAAAGTCTTCAAATCTGGAAGGTTTTGTGGGCTGTTCTAGCAGCTTTATTTTCTTTCTCTGAAACCAATTGAGAACTTCCATGGCTGTGTGTTTGGGGTCGTTGTCTTGCCGAAATGTCCACCCATGTTTCATTTTCATCATCTTGGTAGATCGCAGCAGATTTTTATCAAGAATGTTTCTGTAAATTTTTCCATTCATTATTCTTTCAATTATTTTCAGTTTGTCAGTACCATATGCTGAAAAACAGCCCCACACCATGATGTTCCCATCTGTAAACTTCACTGTTGGTATGGTGTTTTTGGGGTGATATGCAGTCCCATTTGGCCTCCAAACATGGTATCTATTAAGGCATCCAAAACGTTCAATTTAGGTCTCATCTGACAAGACTATATTCTCCTAGTATGTCACAGACTTGTCTAAATGTTGTGCAGCAAACTTTAAATGAGGTTCAACATGCTTTTTCTTCAGCACGCGCGTCATGGCAGTTGAGTGCATTACTTATTGTTTTCTTCAAACAAATGTACCTGTAAATTCCAGGTCTTTCCGAAGCTGTCCACAAGTGGTCTTTGGCTATTGGACAACTCTTCTAAATAATTCTTTGTCACCTATGTCAGAAATTTTGCGAGGAGCATCTGGTCTTGGTTGGTTTATGGTGAAATTATGTTCCTTCTACTTTCGGATTAGGGCCCCAACAGTGCCAGTCCCAGTCTGAGGTCTTGAGCACCCTGGAATTGGTTGTCTTCTACTATATGTCTGTACTTGGCAGCATTCATCTTTACTTCAATTGCAACCAGTCGTCCTGTCGCTGCAGCTGAAAAACACCCCCACAGCATGATGCTGCCACCACCATATTTGATTGTTGGGATTGTACTGGGCATCTGATGAATAGTGCCTGCTTTTTATCCACACATACCGCTTAATAGTTAACGCCAAAAAGTTCAATCTCAGTCTCATTAGACCAGAGAATCTTCTTCTCATAGTCTGGGAGTTCTTCATGTGTTTTTTTTGTTGTTGTTTTTGCGGCACTAGTAGCTCGTTTTTTTCGACAGTAGGCTGACAGTAAAGAGGGTATGAGATAGGGGGAGAGACATGCGGCAAAGGACCACAGGCCAGATTTGAACCCCGGTTGGCTGCGTCGAGGGCTAAGGTTTCTGTACAATTGGTTGTGCGCCCTAATCGCTGTGCCACCTGCATGCCCCTTTCATGTGTTTTTTACCAAACTCCATGCAGGCTTTCATATGTCTTGCACTATATATATATAGAATCTGTCTGTAATGGTTTAACCCCTCTTTCCAGAGCTGCATGATCCCGTCCTTGATGTCAGCAGATCAAAGTCTCCTGCAGAGTCAGTTGTGTCCTGTTCAGCCACAGGTCGACCTGCTCCCACTGTAACACTGACTGTTCTACAGCAGAACCTCAGCTTCTCCCACTACAACAGCAGCAGTGTGACCCACAGCAACGGTACAGTCACCGTCACCACCACAGCTCTGCTGTCAGCTTCCAGCAGCACACAGGTTGGATGTTCAGTGTCAGTGCTCTCTGCTGCTCCCAGAGAGAAGATTATTACCGTTCCTGGAGTTACGGGAGCATCTGATGATGGTGAGGAACTCTTTCAAAATTAGAAGAATTACTATGTACTCATCAACAGTTTATCAGAAATGTGGTGATTTATAACAAAAATAGCTCATAGCTTTAAAATTAAAGAAAATTAGAAATTACTAGAAAGGACAGTATTTTGAAACGACACATAAAAAGTGAGCCATGCTTTAGTATTCTTCACTAAACAAATTTGGACTTGGTGGAAGAAAAGTCATAAACTTTTGCTGAAAGAAAATCCTAAGATGCTGAATTACAAGGTTTCATTCAAACCACATAGAGACGAGGCAAACGTGGGGGAAGGTTCTGGTAAGATGAGACCAAGGAGGAAATATTTTTCTGTACATGTAAAATGCTGTGTGAGGAGGAAAGCAAATGCTGCAGGTAACATGGTGGTAAGACATGGTGGTGGCATCATCATGCTGTGAGAATTATTTTTAACATGAAGGACTCAAAGCTGGTCAGAGTTGATGGGATACTAGAGGTCTGTGACATAATAAAATATGTGGAAAAAAAATGTAAGGCAGAAATTGATGTTTACTGTGTGGGTTTATTTTGTTTTGTTTAGTTTTTTTAGCAAGTATGTTTAAACACTCCGAATACAGAATTATTCATAAGTTAATGTTAAGTCTTTGCAGCATTGTTTTTCCTTACGTTATTTTTCTAACACCTGTTGCTTTTTCTCCAAAGGTTGGAGTGTGAAAATTGTAGCGCTGTTCTTTGGAGCTTTAGTGGCTTTAATCATCATTTTCTTGTATAGAAGAATTAATCAGAACAGGTACTACTATAATAATATGCACTTGTTTTCAGTTATTAGTTTATTTTTTCCCCAATTTAAAATCCTGCATTTGTCTCACAGGAAGCCTTCAATAGAGAAACCTTCTGAAATCAAAATGATGGAGTAAGTCTCTTATTTTGCTATTTAATGATGCAGAATATATTTTCTTTACATATCCGTATATTTCACTAGCTTCTTTTATTCCTAATAATCTTACATTCAATCCACATTTCTCTGTTGAAGGAATCCTTCAAAATGGAAATCACCTCAAATCATAATTACTGGGTAAGTCTTTTATTTGGTTATGTATTAATGTAACAGATTATACTTTCTTTACATATCCGTATATTTAACTTGCTTCTATTCCTGATAATCTTGCATTCACTCCACCTAATGATAATAATAAGGGCTTTACGATGTTAAATATAAAACATGTTTTCTTTTCTTTTTTGATTTCAGGCCAAATGAACCACCTATGCAACAAGAGAACAATCAGACCGGGGAAAATGTTCTGGTCAGACGACTCAGCCATACACCACCACCATCACCACCTGGTGGAGAAAGTTGTTTACCTGTAGCTGAAAAAGACGGTCAATTCCTGACACCAAAAAAAAATACATGTGGGCTGAAAACCCTAAGGTCAAAGTGGGAAACACACCTCCAAAGACGGTAGAGAATGACTGGGGCAAGACCATGTGGGACTTCCAGACCGAATGGTAATGGCAAACCAACCGGACATTGCGGTGGTGGACAAAAAGCAGAGGAAAGCTGTTGTGGTTGACATATCAATACCAAGTGACTGCAACCTCAGGAAAAAAGGACATGAGAAAATAGAAAAATACCAGGGGCTCTTTCTACAACAAAGATTGAATATATTTTTTTTAATACATTTTTATCATTGGGCTGTTTTCTGCTAACCCTCCGTTAGTAAATGAAGAATATAACTTTTCTGTTGAAGAGGAATGTCAGGCATTAATTTACTGTTTGCTTAAATGTGCTTCTGATCACCTTAAAGGAGAAGTCCTGTCATATTCAGAATTCAAACTTCTGATAGTTCTTTAAATATGAAATTATTACATACTGTTCGATAAATGAGAAGTGTTTTAAATGAAAGAGTAATTTTCATTTGGATGTGCTTTACTGGAGACATCAATCTTTGGTAAAGAACACTACTGCCACCTACCGGTTTGTGATGTCACGGTGCAGTATCGGCTGTTGATCAAGTCCCAATGCTCTATCAGGTGTTTGTCACAACGTGCTATTATCCACGTCATCCTGAAAAAATTCTTCTTCGAAATGTTGGGTACATATTGCGTGTTTTTCTCTGGCCAGAGGTTCGATGGCAAATCCTCCCTCTTTAAGTTGGCAATTCAACGATAAAGCCGTGGTGGATCATGAATTGGAAAGGTAAAATAATTATTTTTTTACTTTTATCAAATGTATTACAAAATCCAACCACCATGCATGTGGGCATTGTCAGTTTAACTATAGCTCTCATGAATTTCAATGGTGAAGTCCTCTGGAAATCTTCAATGATTGTTGTTTATTGCAGGTGTGTCTAGTAGTTCCCATTGATTTTGCTTGTAAAACGGGGAGAATAGCACTAGGCTTACCGCACCGTGACGTCACTGCCGGAAGAAGTCAGGAGTGAGGTGTTTATATATGGCCGTTCCCGAATTATTTTTTTATTAATTTTTTTTTTTTTTTTTTTTTATGATTAATGCTAAATTAATAAAATCACTGCAATCGTATTAGTTTTAGGTATAGAGAATGATCCATTGATTATTCCTTGCGGACCGGACCTCTCCTTTAAAAAGTGAGCTATTTCAAGCTTATCTTCTCTTCTTTATCCCGACGGACATCTTTATGCACTGAGATCCATTTATTTTCTGTAACGTCTGAGCTTTAGATGTGAAGAAAGTTCTGCTCAGACAACTGAACTTTATTTTTCAGGTTAACAAAATTTAGTTTCGATTATTAAAAGTCTGACCTCAAGGAAAATGAATGCTGGGATATCAGCCACTGTTAATGCTGCAGTTGATGCAGCAGTATTAACAGACATAAGGTGCTTGTTAACCCTTTGCATGTTCTAGACGATTTTAAGCATTCTTTCTCAGTCAACTGATGTAACATGACAACAGTCATTGACAGAGCTTGGACTGATACCATGGGTACAATAGCTTCCTGTTCCTTTAGTGCAAGAAAGGCCATTTCAAAAGCACATGGTTTATAACTTTTTTCTACTTTTTTTTTATTCTTTATATCTCAAGCAGTATCCTGTCAAGGATAAAGTGTGAAATATATATTTTTTCTCCCCTCTCTTCGCCAGTGTGGTCATATCTTTCCACAGAGATAAAGGCAGTGCTATAGGTAACCGCCTGGGACCTGGAAAGCCAGGTAACCGATGGGAACCTGGCAAGCTATAAGAATGTGCTACTAGAAGCATTCTGCAGCACGCATGGCCTTAGTAAATCCGTTCCCCCTCTCAGCATCCCTCAAATGTATGTGATGTATTGTGATGAACGGTTCGAACTGAAACTGAAATTTCGATTGCAATGTAAATTGTAGTTGACATTAAAGATTGATTGACTGACACACAGCTCTATCAAGGTGACTTAGTTGAGATGTACAGTAGGGGTGCATCACAGTAAATCTATATTCTGGCTGGGAAATTAATGTATCATAAATGGGAAATTCAAGATGACAAGTGGGAAGAGCTAATGAATGAAACAGAATTTAAAAGGGACACTGAAGTTACCATGTTTCTCATTGAGAACTGAGTAAACTGTACTGTACCTAAATTACCCTAAAGCTGATTTGTTTTCTATTCGGTTTGATTAGATAGTGTTGAGGCTGCTCAGTGGTGCTGTGGTGACTTGCAGCAAGAAGGTTCTGGGTTTGATTCTGCATGGAGTTTGCATGTTCTTCCTGAGCATTTATGGGTTCTCTCCGGGTACTCCGGCTTCCTCCCACAGTCCAAAAACATGCCTGAAAGGTTAATTGGCTTCTCTACAGTCCCCTTAGGTGTCATGTTTTTCTCTGTGTTGCCCTGCGATGGACTGGCCATCGCCTCTTGCCCATTGACTGCTGGAGATAGGGACCAGCACCCCTTGCGACCCGAATTGAGATAAGCGTGCTAGAAAATGGATGGATGGAAGGATGGATATAGTGTTGCTTGTTACCATAGAAAGCGTAACCGTAGATCCTGAAACATAGAACATATAGAACAGTCTTGTTGGTACAAAATTGTAGGTTTGCATGGGTTTAGTAGCTTTCAAAGCTGTGGTGGATGGCTGGCTTTTTGTCGAAGTAAATTCCAGCTTGTAGATATTACACTTTACATGGATACATCTGCGTTGTTGAGGCTTCTGGACACATGGCGGCTACCGGTGCTGCAATACAATTTTTTGGCAGTGACGTACAATGGTTTAGTGTTTTTAGTGAAATACTCAGATTTTACCAGTAGGAAACAGTAATCTTACACAATATACCTGTGTTTTGTGTAATATGTTATCTGTTATGTTAAATATTTTCATGCAAGAGATTCATTCAGCAGTAGTAAATCAGTTTTTAGGCACTGTTTTAAATTATGATTTTTTTCTCCAATGGTCACTCGAAGATGGTGATAATTGATATTAAACTGAAAATCTATATACTTTGAACGACCTTCTTTTGGGAGGATAATGATGGGAGGTTTATATGTACTCGTCTAGTGGCCATGGATGATCACTACTCTTCAAGGTAAACTGTGGGAAATTTCAAGTCTACTACTTTTCATCCACTAGACCAGGGGTAAAAAAAAAAAAATCAGCAGGGGTCAGAGTAAAGAAACTCATCAACCAGTAAAGGTCTGGAGACATTTTAAATTATTATCTGTTACTTTAAACACAATTTAACACTGAAATAAAATTAGGTGTTTTTGCATCCATGTTATACATTGAATTTAATTTAAAAAATATGAAATAAAAAAAAATAGAACTTTTTTCCATTTTAAAATCTAGAGTGTTTTTTCAAGTAGAGAACAACAATCATACAGTTTGGTATGTAAACAATTTCCCGATTTACATATTTTATAAAACACCTGAACTGACGAAAAACAGATCTCCAGAATGATCAAGGATAAGTCATGGTGGTTGACTTTTCAGAAGACCTTTTGCAACACATTTCTCTTGAGTTTCTGAACTTACAGAGCCAGACTGGAGGAGAACTTCTCCTGAAGGTCCCTTGGTGTGAGCCGCATGGAACAACCATTTGCTGTGAGCCTGCTGTGCTAAGCTGCTGCTGGATGAAACTCAACCTTCCAAACGGACGTGGACAGAGGTTTGCAGGTCTGGCACCGATAGGGACAGAACAAACAATATGTCTTTTGATGACTTTGATCATGTCATGTGTTTACTGATGAGTAAAGACAAAGCTAACAGGATGGATTGCATGCTATGCAATGCTGCAGTAATATGTTTTGAGCTGTTGTTGAAGCTTTAACAACCTTTATTCACTAAGGGTTTAAACACTGATATAACATTAGTGTTTATGTGTTTTCTCAGATAAAGAATCATTAACTAAAGGTTACTGGTTCCTGATTATGCAAATCATTTAATACCTCATGTTTTACATTGTGAATTGGTTTGAAAACATTCGAATTGCTCTAAATTAGTGCAAAGCTAATTTGATGACATCTCAAATTCTTCGAGATAATCTTTGGTTTTCAAACACAAGATACATACAAGATACTTAGTTGAGTTTCACTAGTTTTAGTCAAAAGTGATTTTTGTTAATAAATTATTGTATTTTGAACAGAAGTTGTGGTGAATTTATTCCACGTAAGTCCAGAATTATCTGTTTGACTATAATTTGAGCTCAAATCACTCTTTCATTTATAGTTCTAAGACACAGCTAGTAGGGCGTGTGTTCATAAACAATAAATGACAGTCAGAATAGTATCTGATTAAAAAAGATGTTTGCCACCCCTACCGGGGAGGGCAATAAACATCCTAAAGTATCAGAACATAATATGAATTCCCAGCTGGCTAGGAATTGAATATAACAGTTGTTCACAACAGCTGCTATTATAAAGGACACTTTCATTGCATCAAGCCTTAAACTTCGAACATCCCCCAGGCTTTGAACGGACTCTTAAACCCCTCTTCCCCTTTTATTTCTTTACTTTTGCTCTTTTGTGTTAATTTTACACAGTGAACGATTTATCTCTCAGGCTGGATTCAATCCTTTGAGTAGCATCCAAATGAACAGAGACACATTTAGTTTATTGGTGACTAATAATGTTGCTAATAGCCCTAAATTACTAAATTGGTGAAAGACAACTGGATTTTTTAACGCACTGAGGTTTATATCATTACATTGGCTTTTATTTGTTTATGCTTTACAATAAAAGAAAAAGGAAAAAAATGAAAAAAGAAACAGTTTTGAAGAATTCGGTTTTCATTATTTTCCTGCTTTGTGTGTCAACTGTAACGGTTGCTAAGCGACAGCGCCTACGGCGGTAAAAGGCCACAACAGAGTCCGTCACACCTTCATTTAGGCCAGGAATCCGTCTACGTGATACGTGACGTCACACGCAAAGAGGATCCCCACCCGTCTGAGTTCCAGCGCGGCAGCAAACAATCAGGAAGAAGAGAAAAATGTCAAAATGCGCCCCGCTGTTATAATCAGCTG